CCGGCAACGGGATCGCAACCCTTGGTGTTGCTCCTGCACCTCGCTCAGCCAGTGAGCGGCCAGTCTGTATATGGGATCCGAACGCCGTGCTTCCCAAGTGGCGCACTGTAGCAGTGTGCCACCGGGCCGGCCCACAAAGGACATTTTTTAAAGAGAGCAAAGTGGGCCATAATGCTAGGTGCTGCTGAGAGTTCTGTAGGAGCAGATCTGAAAATCAAAGGCCTCTGGGATATAAAAACATGGAGCCCACCCTGGCAAAAACAGATTTGGTTGGGTGGGCAGGGGTCAGATTCTGGATTGGGAAGGACTGAGACAGGAAGAAAGGAAAACAGCAATTGTGGACAAAATCTTATTTAGCTGTAAGAAATAGTGGTTGAAAAGGGGGCCTGGGCTGGCCTGTTAGCTCACTTGGTTAGTGGGCAGTGTTATATAACACCAAGTCAAGGGTACGCATCTCTGTACCCCTTACCAGCCAGCTGCCAAAAAAAAAGGGGGCGCTGGTTGGTTAGCTCACTTGGTTAGTGTGTGGCGCTGATAACACCAAGGTCAAAGGTTTGGATCCCTGTGCCAGTCAGCTGCCAAAAAGAAAAAGGTTGACCTTTTGTAAAGTTTAGGTGGGAGAAACTTGGGCTTGAAAATATAGGGCAGAATGGATAATCGATTGTATAGGGTCCTCAGGCTGGGTTTGCATAGGATTTGGAACATAGGTGTGGGATGGTGAAGGGTCTGCTGCTGCTATTGCTGGGGGATGAGGGTGAGAGGCTGCTGTGCCCAGAGGCACAGTTTGAGGATTTTGGGGTGGGTATATGCCCTGAGGAACGTCCTGGCTTGCAGCTTCTAGATGGCTTAGTCAGGATTTCACCTCTGTGTGGACTTCAGATCCTTACTGTGCCTTTCTTTGTTTTGAGGAGTATATTAAGTTTGGTTTGGAAGACTAGCAACGCAGTGTGGGGAATGGAGTAGGTTGTGTTCAGGAGTTACAGGACAGGTGCTTGGGAAAGCCTACCCTAGCGGCCAGGGGTGGAGACAGTGGGTCAGAGCAGGGGGTGCTTGAGTTGTCTTGAAGGAATTCGCTAGGAAGGTGACAGGAGGACAGATGTTTCTGGCAAAGGATGTACCACTCACAAGTGTCAAGGCCAGAGAGGGTGTGTATGTTCAGGAGATATGTGGGAAGGAAGAGGAAATTGGGATCAAGAGTTTGTCAGATTCCTTTTGGGGGCCAGTGAACGTTCAGGTTACACCGTTGATGTTTGTGAGTGATACATCTGACTTTAGTGATTCCCCAGATTCAGGAATACCAATTCTGTGTGTAGTTTTCCCCATTAAATATATCATGTGTGGAGAAGTTTGAAGCTGCCATGTTGGGGCAGGGCGAGTTTATCAGGCTTTTTTTTTTATGGCCAGTGACTCATTCCTGTGTACCAGTCTCTTAGATGATGACAGTAGCATCCTTTCCAGAGGTCTAGTCACTCTGGAGTGGTCAGGTGCAAATGTCCAGATTGTGGGTCATGGTCTTGTTTTAACAATGGAGCTTGGGAGGAATCCTTGGGGACAGGCTGGGGTGGCTGTCCACTTCTAACTGCTATCCTGCCTGTTTGCAGACCTGCTTCGGATGTTCTTTGATACCCTGTACGATGAGGACGTGGTGAAGGAGGATGCCTTCTACAGCTGGGAGAGTAGCAAGGACCCAGCTGAGCAACAGGGCAAGGGCGTGGCCCTTAAATCTGTCACAGCTTTCTTCAAGTGGCTTCGTGAGGCGGAGGAGGAGGAGTCTGACCACAACTGAGGGCGGGTGGGGCCAGGAACTTGGAGCCCCATGGACACATGGATGGCCCGGCCAGACGCCTGGACTGCAGGGGGGTGGCAGCAGCGGCGGTGGCAGTGGGTGCCTGTAGTGCGATGTGTCTGAGCTAATAAAGTGGCTGAAGAGGCAGGATGGTTTGGGGCTGCCTGGGGCCCCCCTCCAGGATTGCTGCCAGGTGTCCCTCTCCTCCCCCTGGGGCACAGAGATATATTATATATAAAGTCTTGAAATTTGGTGTGTCTTGGGGGGGCGGGAGGCACCACCACCTGCCCCTGGGGTCCTTTTTTATTTTCTGAAAATCACTCTTGGGACTGCCGTCCTCGCTGCTGGGGGCATATGCCCCAGCCCCTGCACCACCCCTGCTGCTGCCTGGGCAGGGGGAAGGGGGGGCACGGTGCCTGTAATTATTAAAACATGAATTCAATTAAGCTCAATGCCTCTCTGCTTTATGGCCTACTCCCTCTGGAGAAGGGGTGTGGATAGGTGGGCATCGTCCTTTCTAGAGCTGGCACTGTAGCATTGTTCCCTGTAATTCGGCACCCTTCCTGCCTCTTACCTGGTCCATGATTTTGAGGGTCCGGGGATCCAGTTTCCTGGAGGGTTGGGCCCTCGAGGTGGGCATGAAGGGGTTCCCTCTTGGTTAGGAGAGAAGGGAGACTAATGGTTGTGGGGTGCTTACATAGGACATTCTTGCTGGACTGTTGCTCTCTTAGCAGAATGTTAATCCAGGGTACTGTGTGTGAAGGCTCTGTTTCGAGCTGTTGATAGCCAGAGAAGCCCTTTATGGCTTCAACGTGCCATCTGTAAAGTGAGGGGCCTGGAGGCAACGAGGATTTCTGTCCCCTTGTAGCATGAGTGGGCATGGCCCAGTGAGTGTTGGCAGAAACCGGCCTGCATGGTGCCTCCACAGGGTCGGGAGGCGAGGACGGGCGTTTTCCCTTGCGTGGCCGTGACGTCGGCCTTGCCCGGCCCGCCTTGGTGACGTGGGAGGCCACGCCCCCGCGCTGACGTCACTGGCCCGGTTCCCTCTCCCGGGAGCAGCGGCGGACGCGCGGCTCCCACCCCCTCCCCTCTCTCCCCTCCCTGGTGGTGGCCGCGGCCCGACCCTCTGCAAGGCGATGGCTCGGGCCCCGAGTGCGGGCTAACGTGCCTGTGTGCCCGGCCATGGGCTGTATCGGCTCTCGGAGCCCAGCGGGTCAGGGTAAGAGGCGGAGGCCGGGCACTGGTTGGAGAGGCGGACTACAGCCGCCCGGTGCGCGGGCCGCGGGCGGGTGGGGTCCTTGAGGAGGGGGCCGATGTCGGGAGAGGGAGGAGCCTGCACCGGGGAGGCGGGCCAGGCAACAGGAGGGAGGGGGAATGAGCGGGGAGGGGGCGAAGTCGACTTCGGTTCGCTCGCATGGCCTGCCTGCTTCTGGGCTTTGCAGGGCAGACGCGTGGTCTCATCGCCCTCAGCCTGTTCCCACTGCTAAGGGGGGCAGGAGGTGGATGGCCTTGGGAGGGGCTAGTCAACCTCCAGCCCCTGGCGACTGACCTCGCATGCCCACACACCCTCACTGGCCTCCACCTCTCCTCTCACTGCCCTGGGAGTGGCCCTGTGCTGGCAACCTGCCTCTCCCAGATGCGTCCCTAGCCTCTTAAGGAGGTAGCCTTTAAACATAAGCTAAGCACCCTACCATAGGGTTTGGCTTAATGCTTCCCGCTTCAGAATTACCTGGTTGATGAAAGGGACTGAGGCCCCACTTTGGGCACCTGTGAGCACCTAATCACCTGTCACCTCTTATGACTCTTAATTTCCTTTCCCTACCCCCAACAAAAACAAGAAGGAATCGCCCTACTCTGTGGAGGGGAAGAAAGGGAGGCCATCAGGGCTTCCTTCCCACAACTGCTGACCCCTGCTTGGGCCTTAGTTTCCATGGATGGGGATGCATACTGGGGCCTGGCCTTAGTCCTGTGCATCTGAGGTCTGCCAGCCTACTTTACTTCACTGTCATGGATTTCTCCAAGCCTATGGCCAGCCAGGCAGGGACTTATGACATTGAGGGCTGTGTTTGGAATGGGTCTTTGTCCTTCAGGGCAGGTGGTCAGTCACACAGGCCTTAGTGTGTTTGGTATTCGAGGTTCTTCAGAGTTAAGACTGGCTGAGATTTGCATTTCCCTTGAGGAACTCTGGGATTTGTAGTACTAAATTAACCTTATGAGCTTGGAGTTCAGGAAATCATCCCCTCCTGTAGACAGGGGAGAGTTTGGCTGACCTCAGGACTGGCCTCAAGAGCCCTGCTTAGGTACCAGCTGGGGGCCAGGGATGGCCTGTAACCTCCTGTCTTCCTTCTGTTTGGTAGCATTTCTGGGGACCGCCAGCTGGCTGAGGCTCAGGGACAGAGACTGCTGCTCCAGCTAAAGGTCAGTTGTGATGTATGTTGCCTGTTGGCACTGTGTAGGGGATGGGCCTCAGCACCTTGAGCCCCAGAGAGTTGGGCCCGTATCACTCCCACCTCCTCAAAGCCATGAAGCAGGAGTGTTCTCTTTATGTGACTAGGCACAGGTTCCAAGTGGGGAGGGGACTGGCTCAGCATCCGGAGCCAAAACAGGAATAGAACTGGCAGCTCAGCCTGGAGCAGTTCTGGGCTTTTGGTTCTCCGCATCAACACAGTCAGCATGCCTATGATTTCTGTGCTGGGCAAAATGTTTCTGTGGCAGCGTGAAGGGCCTGGAGGACGATGGACTTGTCAGACAAGTCGCAGAGGTGAGACCAGGGACTGTAGATGTGATCTGGAAGGTGATGGGAAGCTGAGCAGTAGGGTGCTTAGGTGGCAAGAGGAAAATTACTCTGGCTTAGATATTGGGAACCAGGCTGGGGCCAGAGGACATCAGGAAAAGGCTTTAGGAGACCAGGTAAAAATCAGAAAAAATCACGGGTTTGTCAGAAAAGAAGAGTAAAGAACTATAGACCAGCTAAGGCTGGTGAGGGGAAAGAACCAGGGTAGGAGGAGGAGAGAAGAAAGGCAGCAAGCCTGCAGAGGGTCCAGGGTGGTAGTGGGCTGGGGGTCATGGGGGGTAGAAGAATCAGTGTGCTTTCTGAGAGGAATGGGTAGCTATGCTGAGAAACTGGGAGAAGATTAAGAATTTATCAACGTTTGTGTTTCACCCTAGAGTTTTGATGACAAAACATATCCAGAGCAGGAAGGTGGCCAGTGGCAGCCACAAAATGACCTCAGAGGTCTGAGAGTCAGGGCTGTGGGATAGGGGCTTTCAGAGGTGAGAGCACCTGGTCCTCGCTGATAGTCTAGCAAGTGAGGGAGGGGGAGGAGAAATGATATAGCAACACTGGATGAAAATGGGGATCTTGGTAGAAGTAGGGGCCCAGCTGAGCAGCCTTTCCCCCACCCCTCAGTGTCCTCGGACCCAGCCTGGGCTGTGGAGTGGATCGAACTTCCTCGGGGTCTCTCTCTATCCTCCTTGGGATCTGTCCGGACTCTCCGAGGCTGGAGCCGGTCCCCCCGCCCTTCCTCCGTGGACAGCCAGGACTTGCCAGAGGTGCTGGGCCCCTAGTGTTGGTGGGGGGAAGGGGACCGCATCCACGTAAAAGGGATCTGTATCCCCCACCCCCACATCCTCAGCTTGCTTCTCTGCTTCTGGCTCCCTTTTCCTGCAAGTGGAGGCGCTATCCGGCCGGCGGGCTCCAAGGCCGCCCCCGCGCCGGTCTGCTTCTCTCCTTCTCTGGGAGCTGTGCCAGCGGGCGGGCGGGCAACCTCGCGCCTTCGGCGCTGACGTCAGCGCATCCCGGGCCGTATCCCGGGAGACCCTGTTGCATGGTGATGCGTTGCTAGGGAGACATACACCTTTTCTCTGGGCCTGGGCCGCAGCTGCGCGGAGTGCCAGGCGGGGATGGCGGCCGCTGGGGGGAGGGGAGGGAGGGGAGGGGGAGAAGGAGGGAAGGGAGGGAGAACGAGCCAGGAAACACCCAGCAGGTGCTCCTCCCCCCTGGCCTGGCCGGAGGCTACCGGCGCCACCCTGGGGGCCCTGTCAGCCAGGTACCAAAGGGGAGGGACCTAGAGTGGGCCTGAGGTCAAGGAGCAGGTGGAGGCCACTCTTGTGAGGGGCAGAAACGCATAGAGAGAGCTAGGCAATGCCTGGGAGGGGGTTTGTGTCTCTGACTTCATTCATTGAGGGAAACATTTGCTGGGGCTTGTCAAGGAGCAGGGAGCCAGGTGCAGGGTGGAGTTAGAAACCCGGGTGGATCAGACTCAGGCCCTGCCATCCCGAACTCCCTCAGGAGAGATACAAGGGCAGTGCTTGGGTGGGAGGTTCAAATAGGACAGAGAGAGATACTGTGGGCTGAAAGCATTATTAGGTCTTAAATAGTAGGGAGCATTTTTCCAGGTAAGAATGGCATTCTTGGCCCAGAGAGGTTCCTTTTCCTGGAGGCAGGTGGGCTACTTGCTGATAGGGAAGATGGAGCAGTGGGGTTTTATTGGGCAGATGAGATCAGTGGTGCATTTCAACGAGGCCTGGAAGGAGACGGGGGTTTCACAGAGTGGGGTCCCAAAGTGCCTGGGTATGAAGACTGCACTAACCTCCCTGGACAGTGGGGGAGCCCAGAAAAGATTTTGAAGAGACATGCTGTGACCAGTTGTACTCCAGGAAAATTGTTTACATTTATACCTTATTTCATTTATTCAGCCTATGCATTTTGAGAGATTATTCTGTATTAGGCACTATGCTAAATACTGGGGTGCAGCAGTGACCAAAACAGACTAAATGCCTCAAAGAGCTAAAGACCAGTGAGGGAAACCAACGAAAAACAGGAAACACACAAAATAGACCATAATTATACACTGTGATTAAGGGCGACAAATGGGGTTAGTATTTTGTTAGAGACTACAGAGGGAGGACGGACCACTGAAAGGGTGGCCAGGAACGCTTCTCTGACGGGTGATATTTCAGCCCAAACTGGAAGGATGAGAAAGGGCGGGCCAGCCATGGGAAGAGAGGGAGGGAGAGAGGGAACACTTACACACACAACATTTTGGGCTGAAAAATAGCATAGAATTGGAGGAGTTTGGGGGACCACTACTTGTGCTAATCTGGGCAGGGGGCACTGAGGTCTTGAGGACGGGCAGTGGCAGTGGGAATGGAAAGGATGAAGGTAGTATCAGAGGAAGTGTGGAAATGGAATCACTAGGTCTTAACAACAGATATGGGTAAGCAAAGCTTAGGGGAAGCATATTAAACTCAGTAATGCTGAGGTTGGAGTCAGGCTGAACAGGAAAATGGTGGGGCGATGCAAAGTAAGGAAGTCAGGAAGCAGGGCCAGATGTGGGGAGAAGGTGTTGGATCTGGTTTTGGTCATGCTGAGTTTGTGGCTTTGGTAGGCAGTCTAGGAACAGCTAGAATGTGGATCTGAAGACTGAGGAAGAGGAGGGGATCTTAAAGAAGTCCCCGATGCCATACCCTCTGCCTCCCTTCTCTTCCCCCTTCTTCACTTCCTGACCCTGGGAGCTGGGAAGGTGGAAGATTAGCTGTAGTTCTGCTCCTCTGGGCCTGCTTGAGTTTTCATTGCTCCCTGGGAAGACAGTTTGCTGTTCCTAGCTTCTTACCCTCCTACATTTCCCAGCAGCCACTGGGACACATGTGCTGCCCTGACATCTCTTCCCAGCTCCCATCTCCTCCTGACATCTTTGGTGTGGTGTGGGTGGGAGGGGGGCATGGCAGGGGTGGGGAAGAGGTAACTGCTGTCAGAGGGGCACTGACTTACTGATGGTGTCACCCAAGGTGAATGTTGGAGACACAGTCGCGATGCTGCCCAAGTCCCGGAGAGCCCTAACTATCCAGGAGATCGCTGCGCTGGCCAGATCCTCCCTGCATGGTATGCATCTCCCTCCCATGTTTCTGGCCACTTTGTCTTTCCTCCTCCCTTTTGCACATGTCCTTTGGGACTGTTTCCTGTGAGCACTTGCTGGGATCTCCCTTTTCCACCCTCTCTCGGATGAATCCCAGTCCCTCCTCCCACCCACCCAAAGGCATACATAGATCCTAACTGCTGCCACCCTTCCACTTCCCTGCTAAGGTACTCCCTGGCTTGTGCCCTTACCATTCTTCTCCCCTCTCCCCAACCTCCAGGTATTTCTCAGGTGGTGAAGGACCACGTGACCAAGCCTACTGCCATGGCCCAGGGCCGAGTGGCTCACCTCATTGAGTGGAAGGGCTGGAGCAAGCCAAATGACTCACCTGCTGCCCTGGAATCAGCTTTTTCCTCCTATTCAGACCTCAGTGAGGGTGAACAAGAGGCTCGCTTTGCAGCAGGTGGGTGGCAGAAAAGGGATAAGCCACATACTTGTTATAGGGCAGTTATCTCTCATCTCCTCGGGTCTGACATGGGGGTTAGAGTCATTCCACACCCCTGTCTCTTCCCTCTCCTATCTCGAAGCTGAGCCCTAGTCTTAGTTTACCTTCTCTGCTAATGAATTCTGTTTCCTCTCCAACAGGAGTGGCTGAGCAGTTTGCCATTGCAGAAGCCAAGCTCCGGGCATGGTCTTCAGTCGATGGTGAGGATTCCACCGACGATTCCTATGACGAGGACTTTGCTGGGGGAGCTGACACAGGTGAAGGACCTCCTGTGCTAGTGTTGCCAGCTGGGTGGACCCACCTGATAGGCCTTGTGATTCATTCGGAGCCACACCCATAACACCCTCAGTCTTTGCAAGGAGAGGTGGGAGGGGCAGACTCTGTCCAGGTGGTCCTTGACACTCCAGGGGCAGGAGGGCTGTCTACACTCATGGGTGGGAAATCATCAGTTGGAGTAGTTCCTTCCCATGTGCTGAGCCTTCTTTGCCTGTCTGTGTAGTTGGGCCTTGTCCTCAGAAAAAAAAAAGCCCAGAGACCTCAGTGACACCTTCTGTGCAGCCATATCTCTGGGAGGGTCTATAGTGCCCTTGCCTTTTCCTTTCCGAGGCAGCCTTCTGGCTGGCTGTGGCAGGACAGATGACCTGCAGTGCAGCAGCACAGCACCTCACAGGGCTGCGGCCCCAGGCAAACAGGAAGACATGCTGGGCCTGGAATACCCACAGGGCCATGCTGGCTCCAGCTCAGCATCTTTGCATTCCAGCCTGTGGGCCTTTCTCTGGGTCAGTGCTTGCAGAGGGGATCCTGTGGGGCGTGCAGCTGTGCTGGGCCCTCCTTTCATCTTCCATTCTGTGGACCACATGGCTGATTTTCTCTGTAGTTTCTGGGCTCAAGCCTCACAGGCCACCATCCCTTCACCCCCACCTTTTTGCCTTTGAAGATCACCTCTATCGGCCCCCACCCTTCCAGCTAATTAACAACTTACCCAAGGCAGACAATACATTATAGCAGGTCTGAGAGTGGCCAGAGGGGACTGATTTGGATGCCTGAGGCCAATATGGAATCCTAAATCACAAGCATTTTTGTTTGAGTTCCAGGCCTGCTTTGGCCCCTGGAATAATGATAATAACTAACATTTATCTAAGACCACTGTGAGCCCATGTGCAATCTTTGTGCAAACTAGAAAAAGGCACCCCTTTCTCTGGCGGGCACAGCCCCATGCCAGGGCATGCTGCTTGGTGAGCAGAGTGAGGGCTGAATTTCACTGCCTTAGACAGGCTTCCCTTGTGCAGTGAACAACCTGCATAACCATATGGGGTGGCCCTGCATTTATTACTTGCTTACTGTGTGCTGCTAGACTCTTGTTCTCTCAACAACCCCATAAGGTAGGTATTAGAATCCCCAGTTTACCATTAAGGAAACTGAGGCATTGAAAAGTTGTGACTTGCCCCAGGTTGCCCAGCTTCTATTCACTACCCCCAGAGCTACACCAGGGATGGAACAGGGTGGGGGGATATTACTTCCAGGTTGGCCAACTCAAATGGGGCCAGCAGGGCTGTCTTCTTTTCTCTCCCCCTTGCAGACATGGCTGGGCAGTTGCCCGTGGGACCTCACCTCCAGGACCTCTTCACTGGCCGCAGATTCTCCAGGCCTATGCGCCAGGGCTCTGTGGAGCCTGAGAGCGACTGCTCGCAGACCGTGTCCCCAGACACCCTGTGCTCTAGTCTGTGCAGCCTGGAGGATGGGTTGTTGGGCTCCCCAGCCCGGCTGGCCTCCCAGCTGCTGGGCGATGAGCTGCTCCTTGCCAAACTGCCCCCCAGCCGGGAAAGTGCCTTCCGCAGCCTGGGCCCCTTGGAAGCCCAGGACTCACTCTACAATTCGACCCTCACGGAGTCCTGCCTTTCCCCTGCTGAGGAGGAGCCAGCCCCCTGCAAGAACTGCCAGCTGCTCTGCCCACCACCAATGGGCAGCTGGGAACGGCAGCGGCAAGCCTCTGATGTGGCTTCTTCTGGGGTGGTGTCCTTAGACGAGGATGAGGTGGAGCCAGAGGAACAGTGACCCAAATCATGCCTGGTGGTGGCATGTGTCCCCTGGCTGCTGCTAGGGGCAGAGCCTCTGTGCCCAACTGCAGCCTAGAGGGCTCCTGGGAGCACTCAATTCTCCGTTGTGTGTTTTGCATGAAAGTGTTTGGAGAAGAGGCAGGGGCTGGGCTGGGGGCGCATGTCCTGCCCCCACCTTGGGGTTTGCCGGGGGTTGCCCGGGGCCCCTGGGGCATGGCTACAGCTGTGGCAGACAGTGATGTTCATGTTCTTAAATCAAAAACACCACACACATTTTCTCCTCAGATGATGTGAACCCCTAAGGGGGTTGTTGTGACTGGGCTGTGTGGAGGTGGAGTGGGAGGGAGCCCGGCCACTCCCTCTGGCCTCCCCATGCCTCGCTCTTCTGTTTCTCTCCTCACCTCTTGAGTCTATGTGCAGTGCTTGATACAATCACCCTTGCCTGGGTGGCCTGGCTCCTGCCCTCCTAGAGCCTATGGATTGAGCCGTCCCCCAAGGGCCCCTTGCCCAGCTGGGCACGTGCTGTGCTTCACTTCTCCATCGTCTCTAAATCTTTTTCTTTTTTTCCTAAAGACAGAGGGTTTTTGGTCTGTTCTTTCAGTCGGATCTTCTCTGGGAGGCACTGGAATGATGGAAGCATGTGCCCTCCACTCTTTTCCTGGCCCCCCTAATGGGGCCTGGGCCCCATCCCAGCCCCTCCTAGGATGTGTGGGCAGTGTCCCGCTGGTTCACAGCCAGCCAGGCTGCCCCATTCATGCAGAGTTCTCTTTAGTGTGGGGTTGGAAGAAGAGATGGCTCTGGTTGCTACAAAGCTATGACTTTGATGTTCTTCCAGAGAGGGCCACAAGGGGGCCACGGGGTGGCCAGGCAGTTGTCAGCTGATGCCTGCCCAGGGCAGGAATTGTGCCAATGAGTGACAGTCATGAGGGAGTGTCTCTCCTTGGGGAGGCAAGGAGGTAGTGCCTTTCTTGGCTGAATGAAAGGCCACAGCTACAGTACTGCCCACCTCCCCACTCTACTCTCATCAAGGGTGTTAATAACCAAGCAGCGGAGGCCTCTGACAGATCCAGCATTTCCAAGGACACTGAACAGATTTCATGGCTGCAGGCAGGGTGGGTGGCTGCAAAATAAGGAGCCTTATAGGCTTTGGCAGGTAAGAGTGCCCAGGGTAAGAACAAGAGCTAACGGGCACAAGCATTCTATATATGAGTGGCTCATTAGGTGTTTATTTTGTTCTATTTAAGAATTTGTTTTATTAAATTAATATAAAAATCTTTGCAAATCTATATATACATCTGGTCATTGGAGGTTCCAGTATAAACCCATCTTAGTTTTACCCCTTTCCCCCTCAAAGGGGGAACAGTGTTCAAGTGACAGCCGCCTCCATCCTGCCAGGGTAGTGCCGATCTTCCTGTCCTTGTAAAACTTGCTGCAGGTGGGTCAGATTCCAGGTAGAATGAATTGTGAGAAGCTGGTACCCCAGGTCTGGAAGTGGGGCTGGGGCTCCAGCCTCTAGCTGCAGGTGCCTCCTGCTTTCCCAAAGCAGAAGGAACATGAGAGCTGTAGGATCTGGGTCTGCAGCCATGGCCAGCACCATGCTAGGCGGCCCATTGAGGGGTTCACTGGCACTTGTCATCGCTATCAGAAGGGCTGCCCTCCCCGGGGAGGGTGTGGTGGGAGCGAGGCCCCCAGAGTGCATGCACCTCAGTGGTCTCAGTGTCGCTGCTGCTGGTGGCACTGTCTCGGAAGCTGGCGAGGGGTGGCCGGACTTTCACACCCTGTGCTGTGACAGAGCCCTCGATAGCCTTCCGGAGCTGGAAAGGTAAGAGTGTCAGATGTCTGGACTCAGAGCTCCCTGCTTAGACTCCTCGACTGCACTTCTCCCAGGTGAGCCTTTCTGGAAGTGGAAGTGGCTTTGATGGCCACTATCATCTTACCTCCTTTAGGGTAACAATTCCAATGAGTCTGCCAATACTGGTGACATAAGCGTGGTCCACTCCGAGCAGTGAGAAGATGGTGTGAGTCTGTAGGGTGGGGAGAGAACACACTGGAGTTGATGTGCAAGGGGGCAGCTCTAAATTACAGGCCCCAAGGGGCTCAGGACAAGGTTAGGGGGTAGTATAGAAGGGGTGCCACAGATGGTGGGGGGAAGGGGACAAGAATGTTGGAGAGAAAATAATTATGATGTTTCTATGCCCCCAGGCCTCAGAAACGTGATAGCTAAAATCCTATGTTGATTACATTGATGGAGACACAGGACTCAGAAAGGATTCTTAGTCCCATGTTAGAAAGGAAGATGCAGGAGAGAACTGTTCAGACGTGAAATCTAATGACTGGAGGCTCCACGCTAGGTCCTACATTATCATTTAATTTCAGTACTGTCCTGAGAAGTAGGTATTATGCCCATTCTACAGGAGAAGCTTCCTGAGGCTCAGTGGTGAAGTGACTTGTTCCAGGTGGGGCCTTAGAAGTGGCTGTGCAGTCCCAGGATACTTTTTGTCATACAGAGAGAGGCAGCACAGCCTTACTCCTCTTCTGCAGATGTCCCTGTTATTCATGGATATACCCAGCAGGGAGGTCCACAGCCCCCTTAGGGGCACTGCACCCTGAATCCTGTACCTCTCACCCACCACAGTGGCTGACACCTGCTTCCCATTTGCCCCTCTAGCTGGCTGGCCAGTTTTGACATCTCTTCACCCTGGCACTGATGTCCCAATCTTGACGTCCTTGAAGCAGTCTATCCCTCTCACACAGTTTGCCTTTTCTGGGGTCCAAGCATCATCCCAGATCCTATTGAGATGGAGCTTGCAGTCCAGGACAAGAGTCACCTCATCCCATCCCCTCATGTTTTTTGCTTTGGGCCCTCCCCTAAGCTTTCAAATGTAATCATCAAGGCTTCAGAAATTCTCAGCCAGTTCCCCTTGTGCTCTAAGTGGATTTTCTTGGGCCAGATGTCTTGAAAAAATGCTCTCCTGACTCAGCAGTTCCTGGAATTTTTGGCCTATCATTTATCTCACTGTTCTATGTTTACTTGTAAGCCTCTTGGCTTAATGTTTGAATCAAGATAAGCAGTAATAACCCAGTTTCTTCAGTACCGTTCAGAATTCATTTAAATTGTCTTGACACTTTTTAAATGTTTTGAAATTCCTTAGGAAGGGACTTCCAGAACTTTCCTAACTTTGTACATCAAAAGCATGACAGTGCTTATTAAGGGGGACAAGAGGTTCAGCTTTAGAATAAGCTCTTCTGCATTCCTTCAATACCTATAACATAATTGTCATGTGGTTAGCAAGTTCCTCCTCATATCTAACTTGAAACCTACATGCTACAAATAAGCTTTAATTTTGTTCAACTTTAGAGGGAAACGTCTTTATTATAAGGTTTCCTGTTTTAATAATCCCTTAGCCTTATCTTCTTATGGTCAAGTAATCCCTCTCATCTTCTCCCAAGGAGCCTATTAAATAGTTCCCTTGGATTTTCTTTTTCTCTACAATCCTGATCAGAGTGAGCTTCTGCCAGGCTCCTATGCCTTTTAGGTTTGCAAACCACTTGTTCCTGGCAGTCAGCAAGCCTTACCAATCTACTTCCTGCACATCCTGGCCACTCACCCTCACTCCCAGCCTCACTATCCTCACCAGGACTGGGGCCACAGCAGCCTAATGGGTTCTCCTGTTTCTGTCTCCTTTCTTCCAGCTTGGCTCTGCTGTCCTATGCACTTTCTCAAACTTGAATGGAGCCCAGACTTCCTAGAATGGCCCTAGCTGACCCCTGCCTGTCTATCAGGCCTCAAATTCTGCTGGGCACCCCAGTTTACAGCCTCACAGAATCACTCAACTTTTTCTGAAAACATCCATTTCTTCCACACTTCAGTTTTTTCCTCATTACTTTTAAAGTTCCCCATTGTTCATCTCTCAATATAAGGAGTAGTAGTAATAGTAATTCCTAACATATAATGAATACTTACTATGTGCCAGGCACTATTGTAAGTGCTTCATGTTTCAAATCCTTTAATCCTCAGAAAACCCAATAAGGTATGATCCCAATTTTACAGATAAGGGAAATGAAGCATAGAGAGGCTAAGAAATTTGCCAAATTTACACAGCTACCTAACATGGCAGAGTGAGAATTTGGGCTTAGTGGGTCTAGCCTGAGTTCTGGTACTCAGGCCTCCCCGCCTCCCCCATCCACTGCTTCTCTGTAGGTGGCCCCTGCATGAATGCAGTACTTAGCTGGTACAGTGATCTCCAGTTGCAAATAGTCTCCAACTATTCTCTCTCCCCTTTGAATATTCCCCTCCTGAACTTAACTGGGCTACTACTTATTGATTTCTCAGGCCTCAAGGACATGTTGAATTCTAATCTTTTATGTTCTTATCACTTGCAGTTCTTTGTACTTTTGTTAGTCGGTTCCTCAAAGGCTTCTTCTCTTACTCTGATCCTTAAGTTTGTAACAAACACTTACTTTGTTCTTTTTCATTTTAATTTAATTAGACATAAGGGAGCCCACTGGAGGGCCTGCACTTCTTGGGCTTGGGAAGAGTGAACTGACGGGAAGAGGGACAACGTGGCTTTCTGAAAGAATCCTGGGAGCTGGGCCAGAAAATCTGGGCTCTGGGCCTGACTCTACTATATTGACTCTGGCAAATAACCTCCTCGCTGCATGCCTCAGTTTCCCTATGTATTAAAATGGTTAAGATCACAGGATTTGAGTCAGACCATCTTGAATTCTAGGCCCAGTTCTGCTGCTTACTAGCTGGGTGACCTTGGGCAACTTGCTTACCCTCTCTGAATTTCAATTTCCTCATCTATAAAAATCGGAATATCACAATATCTTATAGTGTGGTTGTGAGTATTAAGCATGTGAAGAGCTAAGCATAGTGTCTGGTGCATATGACAAGCACTGAAAAAACGTCAGCATTATTGACATCATCATCATTATGGATGCTTGAGGATTAAGTAAGATGATCGATCATTGTGGAAAAGCTTTAGAGGTCTTAGAAAGAAAGGCTTTAAATAAAAGCCCAATGTATTGTTCTCAGGCCAATCTCCTCTTTCCTTGCAACTGAACTGTAGTTCCCCCCTCTTTTTTTTTTTTTTTTTTGTCTTTTTGTCTTTTTTCGTGACCGGCAACGGATCGCAACCCTCGGTGTTGCTCCCGCACCTCGCTCAGCCAGTGAGCGGGAACCGGTCTGCATGTGGGATCCGAACCCTCGTCGGGAGCGCCGCCGCGCTTCCCAAGCGGCGCACTGTAGCAGTGTGCCACCGGGCCGGCCCCCCCCACTCTTTTTGATGTGAGGTCTTTACCCAAAGGCTTATAAGTTCCTTTACTGCCTTTTGCTTTTGTTTCCCTTTTGTCCCCTGTTCTTCCTGCCTTGACCTCTGCTTGTTTGTGCAATGCTGGCTTTTAGGCACGGCTTGTGTCTAAGCTAGATGCCCAAGCTGCAGGCTTTGGAAGTGTTCACCTGCTGCTTATTTTCTTCCTCCCAACTCCCCAATACCTCAAGGCTTGCATGTTAAATCTGTCAAAAATTTAAAACACCCCTTGGTTTTTACTAGTCCCAGGAGCTCTCCTACCAG